ATTTTTATTAAACACTAATGTACAACAATCTTTGTAAATAATACTCAATATGAGTTTCCGAAGAAAACGATTGCTGGAAGAAAAGTACATATTGATTGTTATGCTGTAACGAAAAAGCAACCTCTCAAAGTCACTTCAATATTCTATTCGACAAGTCTGAAGAACAAGGATGACTAAAATTCAAATGTTTATTTCCCTAAACCTTCAACATAATTTCGAAATATTTTATTCGAAGCGGAGTATTCCAAGTCAGTATCGATAATTGAAGAAATTATTTGATTGTATTTAAAAGAACCGAAAGGAGAATATTTAAAGTCTGATATTAAATGTCTAGCAAGTACCAGTAATTGGTAAAATGATTTATATTTGTTTTAAAAGGAAAATTTCTAATAGGTATTAGTTAAAATGAATTGTTATTCAGTCTATTGTATTGAAATTCTAATTGATTCTAATGTATACAAGTGTTACAAGAAGGCTGAGTGTGTACAGGGTGGACATAGGCTAGCTAGTAGCCCCCGACCACTCTATTCACATCTCAGAACCTTCAGGTCAAAATACGCCGCGAAGTGTCTATGGCCCAGTATAAAGGGTGAATAAATTCGCGGGACATCGGGGGGTCCTTATATACCCTCGGTACCCTCTCCCCAAAGTCATTAGCAAAATCGTCGGTTAGGTCAGGCGGGAAATTTTCGCGGGAAATTTTCGCGGGAGATTCTCGTTATCGTAACACGGTATAATTTATCAATTTTCACAATTTTGTTATAAATTTATACTTCCGACAATTTGTTATAACATTGCATATAACAATTTATACGTTTTTACAATATTCTTCAATGGAAACATAGGTTTTAGCGTTCTCGTTACTTACTCGTGGTTAAATTAATTTCGTAGGGATTAAAAATCAGGTTGTCCTGTGGTCGTAGATTAAAAATAACCATAGTACAGCTAAATTTATCGTGTTAAATAATTCTTTTTACACGAATCAAATATGTATTCAACGTTTGTTTGTTATAATATCGTGAAATAAAATATATTACACATTTTCTCTATTCACACTGAATTTATAGATTATAACGATTAAAAATCAAGTTGACCTGTGGTCATTTATCAAGAATAATCATAATAAAGCTGAAATTATTGTGTTAAATAATTTTTTTAACACGAATTAGGAATTTATTCAACGTTTGCTTGTTACAATACCATGAAATAAATTATATTATACGTTTTCTATATTTACACTAAATTTATCGTTCTATAACTACACGTTATGCTGCGTCCGTTTGTTTTTTCTGTGCAGTTCAACCTAATTTACTTAAATATACGTTGCGAGACAGTATAATATTTACAATTCTGCCTGAATTTTTGAAATTCAGAAAAACACAGGTAAACTTCCATTGCATTTAAACGATATTCTCCACCAAACTGGACAAAGTACAGTAACACTTGTACTGTCACTAGTGGAATCGACCCTACATTTTACTGACACTTGTCGAATCGACCCTACATTTTACTGACACTTGTCGAATCGACCCTACATTTTACTGACACTTGTCGAATCGACCCTAAATTATTATTTTAAATAAATGTTTCTATACGAATTAAGAATCTATTCAACGTTTGTTTGTTGCAATACCGTGAAATAAATTGTATTATATATTTTCTCAGTTTAGACTGAATTTAAAGTTCGTAAGGATTAGAAATCAGGTTGACCTGTGGTCGTAGATTAAAAATAGCCATAGTGAAGGTAAAATTATTACGTTAAATAATTGTTTTTATACGAATTAAATATTGATTCAACGTTTATTTGTTGCAATACCGTGAAATAAATTGTATTATATATTTTTTCTGTTTACACTAAATTTAAAGTTCTGTTTACATGTTATAACAATTAGAATGTAGACGTTTTGCCGTTTCACGGTTTTTCCTCTGTTAATTATGTGTTTATAAATCATTTCAAACTAAAGCAGCACCATGCCCACCCTTAATTAAACCGTCTCAGTAGTTTACCGTAATTAATAATCTATTTTCGGAATTTATACGAGAATTTTTGAATTTTAGTAAATACTAGAGTCAGTGCATCGCGTATTGAAATAATAGCTTATACAGATAATCTTTTGAAATTACTCTTAATTAGGGAAAATCTTGAATCTTGTATGGAAGATGAAGATTTTCAGGAAATATTTATTTTTCAACAATGAATTTTTGTTTTATCGATTAATAACGTACGAAATGATTTTTGGAAAATTTTCTTCGTTTGAACGTTCGTTTAAGGTTCGACTATGATTATCAAATCTCTCGAAACACCGTAGAATGTTCAATTTTAAAAGTAACTTCTTCAATTTTTGGATAATCTGGGTAACGTGTTAGTGTTGACGATACACTTTCGAGTATAGACGTTAAAGTTCATAGAGTGGTCGGGGGCTACTAGCTAGCCTATGTCCACCCTGTACACACTCAGCCTTCTTGTAACACTTGTATACATTAGAATCAATTAGAATTTCAATACAGTAGACTGAATAACAATTCATTTTAACTAATACCTATTAGAAATTTTCCTTTTAAAACAAATATAAATCATTTTACCAATTACTGGTACTTGCTAGACATTTAATATCAGACTTTAAATATTCTCCTTTCGGTTCTTTTAAATACAATCAAATAATTTCTTCAATTATCGATACTGACTTGGAATACTCCGCTTCGAATAAAATATTTCGAAATTATTTTGAAGGTTTAGGGAAATAAACATTTGAATTTTAGTCATCGTTGTTCTTCAGACTTGTCGAATAGCTTATCGTTACAGCATAACAATCAATATTTACTTTTCTTCCAGCAATTGAAATTAATTTGAAATTTTTCATATATTTTCTCTGATATTGAATTTATTTTATGACTTGCTATTTTGTTTACTAATAATTTACCATTCAAGGAATTTGCATGAATTGCATGTTAAGTAGTTAGTTGATTTATTATTGTATATTGTGAGCTGATTTGGAACGAGTGCACTATGCCCACCCTAAATTAAACCGTCTCAGTAGTTTACCGTAATTAATAATCTATTTTCGGAATTTATACGAGAATTTTTGAA